TATATTTGAGCTTTATTGTTATAATGCAATTTCAATGCTGATTCTTGCCATAGCTATCAGTAGGTACATAACATAATGTCTCATAATGTGTAGAATACACAATTGGCACTACCAATCTGTGGGCTTCACCTCTTCCATGCTTTTAAATCGTAGTCTGAGACTACTTGATATAAAAACATCACACCAATTGAAGACATGGCATGCAGCCACCATCAGCCCCCAAAATGGGTGGTAGAAAACCTGTTTTCAATCCCCTCTCACCCTCCCATCTACAGTTACTGAGCCAAGGGCAAGCCCACAGATTGATGGCAGCAACTGTAAATACTCGTAGTATGTGTTTCTGTTAATGATATGGGAGTTATTAAGTTGGCATTCTTTTGCATTGGCCATAAAGGTTGGAGTGGGAAATGGTAGTGTTAAAGGCCTACTGTTGAAATATGAGCAGCTCGCAGTTCAAGTTTTAGTGGCATGAAGTAATATATAGGGGTTCTTTGCCTTTTTCTTTAATGGAGCACAACAGTGTTAAATGCCCTCTGCCCTTCCTTCTCAGATATATTTGCAGTGGAATTTTATATTGAGACGTGGTAAATTATAAGCCAGAACTGGTATTTTCAAACCGTAACAGCCAGTCATGGTGTCACCTTCAGTAGCTAACTCTTAACATAGATTGTGCTAAACATCCATTGCATTAAAGAAGTATACAATTTAATGAGATGTGTTTAATATTCATGGATTTGCTATGATGAGCTCTTACTGAAAAATTTAGTAAAACATGACTTTGTCAAAATATGCTATTGCAAGAATATTTGCCCCTAAAAGTAGGATTTATATTCATTAAAATATTTATTTTAATTATTAATATTGTGATAAATAAATAGTCATGATTGCATTAAGGAAGTGACTTTTTATAATGTGTATATTTATAATTGGGCAGCTTTCATAATCTGATTTCTCATAAGAATATTTGTAATGTCTTTGGGCAGTATTTTTATTGCATTGAATAGTGACCAAATGGAAAGCGGTTTGAGATTATATTGACAGGACTAAAGGAGGGGAAAAAATACTGTAGTGCAACTGCATTGGTGCAATGAACAATTTTCAGTAATTCTCATAAAATTTTATTTCAGGATATTGAACACATTGTACGGCCCTGTTAACCTTTATTGGTCATGCATCACATGACTGGTAGTGCTGGTCCAACAGTACAGTTACCATTATCCTGAAGTTAAAATCTCGTCAATGTTAATAGCTGGGGACTGTAAGTGCTATATTCCTGGATGATAAGGGTTGAGTGTGCATCTTTCCTTTCTTGTTGCAGCAATGATTCACAGTGATACAAAGTATGAGAATCTCAAATCTGAACAAATGAATTATTCAAGAAGACTAACAAACCAATTCCACTGAGGAGAGTCTTTCTTGAGAAGCTGATAATCATTCAGTTGGTCAAGAAATTCCACCTTTTAGAGAATTCACAGTTTCACTATTGTGTTTGCAATTTTGTCACTGGGCCTATCATAAGAGCATTGAATCCTCACATCCTTTGGGGGCGATATATAAAGTTGTTGGGGCATATGACATTTCAGCTACAGATTTTCCTGTTTTTGTGGAAAGCTGTAATTTTATAAATGCTCCTCCTACTTATAAATGTACACCACTAACCTGATTTACATTTTATTTAACAGGTTTTTTTATAATGCCTCTGTGCCGTTGTAGGTATTCTTTTAATCTGAATAGTGGCAATCCTAATTTAGCAACTTTTTTAACGAACAATCGTTAGTTCAGTTTTAAAGCATTTTGTATCTACATGTATTAAATAGGGATGTGGTTATGAGATTATATTGTAATTTGTAATAATTTCATTTTTTATCTCTGTGATATATCATTTTGTTTATAAAATATATTATATTCTTATATATTTCTTTTCATAAGCTTCATTAATGATTTCCATATTTCACCCACACCTTTTCATCCTTGAGACATTACACGCTTTTACCTGTCATCTCATTTACGTATTGTTACTAAGCATAAAGAAGAACGATATATATATCTGTGTATTTACATGGCAGTTTTTTTTTGTTAAAATTATCTGTAACATTAAACATTTGAGTTAAGCTTAATGAAAGTACTATTCAGTTATTTTTGTTTTCTTATTTTTTCAAGATTGCAGCAACTTGCAGAGTGGTACAGTGTAGTGTGGTAATGTCATTTGTTGGTTCTCCACAGCTGTGCCAACATTATTTACATGTCATACAACACTGATGCAGTGCAGAAGGGCAAACTTTGTGAGTTCCAAAAGGACCCCTTGATTTGTAGTAGTAGTTTTTATTCAGATTCAGTTTACCCCCCCCCCCCTCCAAATTAATGTTGTTGAGAATTGCCCAGTAATGCGAATCTCATGTGGAATGCACTATCTTCAGTGAGCTCTTGTAAATAATGTGGTTGATGGGTGAAGTGTTATGTATGGCTCAGCATGAAATACATATATATTTAAATCTACAGAAAGCTTCCCGAAGCATACAGGAAATCTAAAGCACCATGAAAATTAAAGATTATGGGAGTGTTCAGTTCTTTATATTTACAGTGAAGGAAATTACCACTCTTAGAACAAATTTATTTTTTCTGCTATTCTGTATAATATCCAACATTGCCACCAACTGGAAATAACTATGTTAGTAACCGTGAAGGTCCTATCCATTGGATATAAATTACAGAGTTCTGTTACAATTGATACGAGTATTGTCACTGTTACTTGATACTAAAGGGAGGAAAAGGTAGAAGAAGAAACTGTATCAAAATGTGGTTAGATTGTGAACAGAAAAATCTGTATCTTGGAATTTTTCATACTTTTTATGCATTCCTTGCATGCTTCTGGGAATTTTCATTAGATTGGTAATGTTCATATCATGTTGTGATATCGAGTATTATTGTGTAATAATTGTTCCCTTTCCTTACAGCTGCATCAGGATGGAGGTCATAATTGCAGATTACAATAAATGTTGTTCAAAATATAGGGTTATTCATAAGTCCGCAAAACATTTTAAAAATTCACAACAAATAAACTATTCATTGGATCATGGTAATTCTTAGCCGATAGAGAATGAATCTCCAAGTTTTTTAAAGCCTCCATTGCCTGCTAATCTCAGGGATCTTTGCAACCGTATCACCGCTGCTGTGGCTCTGGTCAACCATGATATGCTGACACGGGTGTGGAACGAAATGGATTATCGCATAGATGTCTGCCGTATCAGTAAAGGTGGATACACTGAGCATCTATGAACTGTGTAAAGAAAACTTGGTGAGTTTATCTCTATTTTAGTGTAATAAAATTTGGTATCTGTTGCGTAGTTTATTTACTGTAAATTTTCAAAATGTTTCATAGATTTATGAATAACCCTCTATAACTGAAATGTGGGGGAGGGGGTTTAGGATATTTATGTCTTTTTCTTTTTTATGTACCAGTATGCAAATGTGCATACAGTACCTGTGTGATTGCAGTCTTTTGAAGTGTGCCACGGTGTAGCCCACATACCATGGCTGTGTGACACAAGTGAGCCAAAGTACTTGGGTATGTAATCATTTTGTTGTTGTAATCACTGTCCTTTTGATGAAGTTCTAAAAATTGTAGTAGTCTCCCCCTTAGGCTGAGAGACCAAGTTTTACACCCACACAACACAGGAAGAACTAGTTCTGTAAATTCTAATCTTTAGGTGTTCAGACAGGAGATGGAAAGATAAGATTTCTAACCTAAATGAGCTGTAATTAAGATTATTTTCTTTAAGAAAATGTAATCCCCCCCCTGCTAAATCATACCAAGAGAGGACATAATGCTGAACTGGGGACTGTGTTCTTTTGTGGAAGAATGAAGTTGGAAAAAGAGAAAATAAAAGTTACCCTTTAAAAGCCATCTCCTTAAAAGGTAATGTTATTCCTGATTGGTTGGTTTGAACTCATACATGTAAGAGCCACTGAGTTGTTTCAGTTTGTGGTTGACTTTGGTGCAGCATGGTGACTCCAAGACAGAAGTGCTGATCTGTCAGGTCCTACTCATGTTACGTCATTGTAATTGCAGGGTAAGTCACATATGCATATTCTCTACAGAACTGATGGTGTCTGAAGGTATACATTTATAGCAAAGTAAAGCTAGCTTATAGATTGTGTAGTACACTTATTTTCAAATCTGTACACACAGTAAGTAATGTTTAACTGAATGTTTTGGCTGTGTCAAAGCATAAGGTGGTTAGCAGAAAGTTCACTGCAGAGCATGTGTTCAATCCCAGAATAGGTCATGTGGGATCTGTAATGGGAAAGGTGGCACCATGGCAGGTTTTCTCTGAGCATTTCCATTTTTCTGTCACTTATTTCACCAGTGCTCCATGTTTACCTATCATAAGGGACCGTTTAAGTGCTGTATAATCTGAAAATGGCCAGGAACCATCCTTAACTGAATTATGCCAGTCCTAGGAAATCTTTACCCATAATTCTGTATAAGTGTAAAATTAGGCGGAAGAAATTTATACACAGCCTGTTGCAATGAAACCTCTATTAAGTTTTTTTTGGGGGGGGGCAATGGATCTGAACACCAGATTAAGAAAAATCTTATATGGAGGTAATTTAATACAGCGTACATTGACTTATGATCACTTAAATTATATATTACCTAAGGGAAAGCATAAAATCAAGGAACATTAAAGGGAGGCTTCAGTGCATTTAGAAATACATTGAATCTTTCATTGGAGTCATTTCAAAACAAAATATTGAGGCCAGTATTTCCTCTAAGAGCAGTAAGTCAACAGGCCAATGGAAAATGAACATCAGTCTCATGATTATATTTTTCACCAAATATTATTGAACTGATCAGTGGATAACAACATCTGGATGACCAAGATGAGAACTACTGATCACCTAGAAGATAATTTTATGTCTCATTATGATTATTAACACAATTTCTCTAGTAGAGGATAATGAAGGTTGGTAACTACTTATAATGATAACTATTCTGGTCATATTCATGTAATTAACTGTATTATATAATACATTTCATATTGTGAAATAGTTAACAACACAATATGTATTTTGGAATACAAGAGCTGGCATTATCACATTCTCATCTTTTTTACAGCATTGTCATCATTAGTTTCTTTGTCCACAGAATCAGATTTTCGTTTCCTTTGCTCCTCCTTCTCAGAGGCTGTTTTCTTCAAACCCTTCATTTTTCGGGTCTGTAATTTGTCGATATTTTGTTTTGGAATGTGAATTTGTCCATGCTGAGTTCCAAATGTATCCTTTGAGATATTCTTGACCTTCTTCACCTATTATAAAGAAAATCACATCATATAGTGTATACATGTGTGTTTGTATTACCTGCTGTAATGTTTTGTTTTGCTGTGAATCAGAAAATACAATACATTGTATAAGTTGTTCATCTCAGGGTATTCTGTGATGTGATTCAACACACTGGGAGAACAGCTGCTATGGAAGCTTCATTAATTAGAATGTTTTGAAAGAAAATACTCTATCCAGCTTCTGGGTAGAAGTGGAATGGCAATGCACCCCATACATTTGAAATATAATTACCTTCAGTTCCTTGGGCCTCTTACAGGCAAGCTTGAACAAGTCATCAGATGAAATCTTTGTTCTTCTCAGTTTGAGGTCAAATGATGGACCAATTTCTTCAAGTTCTATTCTAGGAATTCTGCTTCCAGATTTTTTCATTTGTATTCTGTAACATATATCTTAATTAGGATCACCCAAATATAATGTCAAAATAAGCGAAGAAATTTTTTTTAGATATTATGCAGGTATACAAAAACTGTTAATTTGCGTAATATACATTACTGTTTGTGCGCATGTGGGATTCATGCATATTGAACATTAAGCATTTAAATTCCCTTCCAGCCATGGAACTAAGACATAAATGAAATGCTGTTTAAATTCAGCACAGAAGCACTGACATTCCACTGTAAAAAATGTTCTATGCTACAGATCTTTTAAGAATTGACTGTATTCTTGGGAATGGCCCATATGAATGTTTCATAGCTATTATAATTAGTACTTGTAATGTCAGGAGTTCACAAAGGATAGTTGTTTGGGATCCACTGGTCACAGAGGCAATATGGTGGAATCTGGATAATACAGGAATACAGAAGGTCTTCCATATCCCAAAAATTTGCTGATTACTGTAATACACATACGTACACGGTGTGTCCAGGATCCATTAGGACTCATTTTTTTTAAATTTTACCCTGCAATGCCATCTGTTGGTGAGTTGTGGCATTAAGATTTTTGAAGTTTCAGCTGTGGCTGTCTATAATTTCAAGACGCAAGCATCGCTGCATCACGTGTTCTGACCTTGAATGTAACAGTACTGTTCTGACGCTTGTCAGAAAATGGCAGTTGAACAGAAAGCTAACATCAAATTTTGTTTTAAGTTGGGTAAAACAGCCAGAGAAGCATACAAAATTATGAAAAATGTGTACGGTAGTGACTGAGTCGCTCAAACATTTTTCGATGGTATGCTATATTTTGTGTCAGCAAGGAAGACATTGAAGACGCTCCACGAGCATCAAAGCCGAGAACAAGTCACACTGAAGAAAATGTGAAAAAAAGTGACCGACATCCTTGCATCAGACAGATGTGTTTCTGCAAGACTCATCGACGAGCTTTTGGGAATACCAAAAAGTACTGTGCATCAAATTTTGACCAAGGATTTGGGCAAATGGAGGGTCTCTGCGCGGTTTGTACCGCACGCACTATCAGGCCAGAGCGGAACACTGCAAAGACATGTTGCAGTCGGCCCAAAGTGATACAAAATTTATAAAATTGATTGTTACTGGTGACAAGACATGGTGTTTTCAACATGAGCCTCTCACAAAGCGGCAGTGTAGCGTGGTTGAGCTCAAAGAAGCCAAAACCAAAGAAAGTGCACAAGCAAAAGAGTCGAGTAAAGATACTAGTAACCGTTTTCTTCCATTCACAAGGAATTTCTGCCAGAAGGTCAAACGGTGAATTTTGATTGTTATCTCAGAGTCCTCAATCGTTTGTGGGCAAGAATTCTACAAATTCGACCTGAATATCGAGAGCAAGGTTCCTGGTCGCTCCTCTACGACAATACCCCACCCCACAAATCGAAGACTGTGCGCGATTATTTGACCAGAAAAGGGATCACAGTCCTGGACCATCCTTCGTATTCGCCAGATTTGGCTCTAGCAGATTTCTGGTTGTTCCCAAAAGTTAAGTTGGCAATGAAAGGAGACCATCACGACACTATCCAGGACATCCAAAGGGAATCTAAGCAGTTTTAAATGTGATTCCACAAAAGGAATACAGTGACTGTTTTCAAAAACTTTTCTATCAATTCCAGCTATGTATTGATTCAGAAGGACATTGTGAGCCTTATGGAACAATTTGTATGAGTGGAGTTCAGCGTAATGGGGGGAGCTTCTGTACAGGACATTATTCACCTGGTGGTGACAGTCATACCTGTAGCTGCGGAAATATATTCGATCTTCTGCTGCGGTAAACATCAATACGTGCTCAAGGCCCTGGAGTCTCACTGCTTGTACTATCTCCCTTTGAAAAATGTCGATCAGCAAGCTCTTTATACGTTTATACTCATGATTATGCTCAAATAATTCTCCAGCAAATAAGAGGCAAGGCTTAATTCCCAAGGATACCTTCTGGGTTTTGAACTCCTTTAATCCTTTGTAGTGTTCAATACCAAATTCAACCATGTCTAAGAGATGGCTATCATACATACGGCCTGCAAACAAGAATTTTCATATTCTTGGATTAAATCTGAGACTAGCAAGCATTTGATTCTAATGCTGAGGCATGGTGTGTCAGAAAATATTCTTCACTGATTATTTTATAAACGAGCCACACATTACATTCCAATCAAAAAGATGTTAGAGTTACAATATTAGTTTTCAAAATATTTATTTTATTTGATTTATGTTCGATCACTTGCATGTAAATATACTGTGGCATGTCTGCTGAAAGCCAGATGAGACAGCTGTTGTTAGGGAACGGGCTATGCAAACACAACCATTGCCAATCAACAGCTTTGTATCATGCAACAATGGAGCAAATGTGAAGCAGCATTCTCTACGTAGTCCATGCCAATAGCTATGCCAAGGAACAACAGAAGAATTGTTGGGAGAGGTGTTTTCTGTGGGGTTCATGCCGAGGCTGTATAACATGGACCATTGATGCCATTAGCAGATAGTCTTGAAATGGCAGTTAGAGTAGGAGGTTGGTGTGAGATGGCGGCCTGCCTGTGAGGATATAAGCCTGGAATTAGAGGAACATCTGCCATTGGAAGTCACTACCAAGCAGTGCAGTGAAGACAGTGACTGAGAACACTAGTCTGTGTGTGATGGCCTGTAAAGTGTAGTCATGAGTTGTGTGTTAGTGTCCAATAAATCCGATTACCAAACCAAACTCTGTCTATAGTCACACTCCATCATGTGACAACTGATGTCAGAAGTGGAACTGGATCAATATACTAATTGGGTTTGAGACTGCAGCAGGTACTTGTATTGCCACACTATGAAGATGGAACAAATAATGGAATACATGCTGGCAAAAATGAAAACCAACCAAGAAGTATGGAAGCCAAGACATAGGCCAGAAGGTTGAGATCCTTCAAAATAAAATGTGGACCAGTCAAGAAGAGGTGAAGGCCATGTCAGAGGCCTTTCCAGAAAAGATGGTGGCAAATCCAGAAGAAATGAAGTCCATAGCAGAGCATCAGGAAGGTAGAAGGCATAATGGCATAAGAAACCAATGCCTGATAGAGCAGCTATGTCTGGGAAGCAAAGAGACATTTTATGAAGCCCTCAGACAAACCATCAGGCTGGAGATCATGAAATGCAGCATCAGGTCTTCTGTTGCGATTCAAAAAACGAGTGTCAAGACATTGTGGAGAAGCCGGCCACTGCCCAAATGG